GCTACTATTCTCCCCTGCCAGATGGCAGGCCACCAAAACATGGCTTAGTTGTAGCTTGATAACGTTTTTCGCGCAAATCTGAGCAACTTTTTTGCCGAGATGGAAAATAAATGCTTCTTATCCTAACACGAAAACAGGAGTTATCGCGGTACTTCATGGAATTTTTTAAAATATCTTTTCATTTATCTTTTGATTTCTGCAAAACAATGTGGCCTTTATACACATCCATTATTCAAGCTCACGAAAACTGTGATATCAGCTTAAATGTTTTATTCTTTGCACAGATATATTCAAAATTGCTTCAATAATCTGACGATTTGCTTTGTGAATAGAAAGGTAGACTGACATATGCGCAGCGGCTGCATAAACTTGATTGACTCGTCTCCACGTTTTCTTCCACGCGAACAGAGCCTATCTGTCATGTGACTTTGACAGATTGGAAGAGGCAAATGCGTAGGAATATTCAAACAAAATGGTCAGTACACAGCTCTTCGTTCAATTTCCAGCTTGTCTGCACCCTGAAAGTTGCATTCCGATGACTTTCGATTTGCGAATTCATCCCATTTTTGGAGGCATTTTGACCCACAGCGCGAAGCTTGGCATGAGCGCGGCGGAACCATCCGGGCCAGCAGCAGGGCTGCGGCGGTCATCAGGGGCGGGGCCCACGCTCCACAGGCGTTCCGAACGGATGTCGCACGTACACATTGAATACGACTGCAGCCGTCTCCCACGGGGCTCTGGAGAGCCAGGTTGCAAGGAAATTGCAGCCTCACCATCGCTCGGTGTGTGGACGGCAGACTGCCCGCACAGGCAGAGGTCGTGGAGGTGGGCGATGAGGTCTCTATATGGGTATTTCATTGAGCAGAAGTATAAGAAGTAAATATTTTAGGATCGTTGACATCTAGCTTTATCTCGGCAAGTCCTTCCAAATTCGGTTTTAGCTTTAAACCACGCGTTTGGGTGGGGGTCAAATTGCCCTCCCCCAGAGGTTTTTCATGATGGTTTCCGAACGGCGTGACGTAGCCGCTCCAAATTCTGCGTAGCTGCAGAAATTAGATAACAGATCGTCTGGCGCGAAAAATTACATAAATATGTATAATAATGGTAAAAAAATAGAAAAAAACTGGACCTGGTAAGGTCGCTAACCTACGGCAGCTTTAAGTCAGCCCATGGTTTCAGCGGAGGCTATTTCCAGGGAATCGGTAAATCCGATGCAACAACGGAGTGTCAGACGAAGCCACATATCTTTGAGATATTTTCTTAGGCAACGCAACAATTGAATAAAAAAATCACATTGACCTAGGGTCAGATGCAAAGGTCAGACCAAAGTCAAAATCAGTCTGTTTCTGTAACCTAGGGCTTGTTGTATGGGATAGTTTCTGGTGCTCATTTTGATTTTATTGATAACAGGAAACGCATTAAGCACCTTCCATGGACTTCTCAAAGGCCATAATAGATCATTGACCTCGGATGACCGAAGTCAACGCTTTGTTTTTAAGAGCATGTTGTCTAGCGTTATCTTTTTCGCTTACCAAAATGCAAAACTCAAAACCACCTCGTATGATTTTGGTCACCATGTCCTTTCAAAGGTCAAACAAGGTCGTTGACCTTAAATTAGCACGTGGCCTTTTGCTTGTAACAGCTATCTAGGTTCCAGGGACCCTTTGGAAACCAACCTGAAACTTGATTTGTTTTGACCTTATTTGACGCGACCTAAGTGAGTTTACGTACAGGTCAACACACCCTGTAAATTGGTGTCTCTAGCTCTCTTAGTTCCTGAGATCTCATGGGGTTCAAATGGACCATCCACCCGAGCGAAGGGTATCCAACCGGCCACTTGGGCACGTATTAAATTGTTACTCCGTAATCCAAAGATACCCTGCCTCTAGCGTTGCAATGGCTCTGTTAGAGTGAGTCTGTTTCTTGTGTTTACCAATATGGCGGCTGGCTTTTCATACCAGCAAGGGACCACTGCATTGACTTGCCTTATCCAATCCTGCATATCTGTGTTCCTTCCGCTCCTTGGCGAATAAATCGCGGAAGTCCCTTTTTTGGTTGAATGCTTCATGGTCGTTGAATTCTTTGCTGCTGTTTTTGCTGTTGAATTTTTTGCTTTGTTTTGTGTCAAAAATCCTGTGGAAGGAAAATGGAAAGTGTAGCATCAAACATTGATGTGACATAGTTTTAGATGCTTATCACACTGTTATGAAATTGCTTTTCTTTAATGTATTCTGTTTAACTGTCATGATCAAATATGTTAAAAGAAAACAGAAACAGCTTTGTCATGTTTATGATAATACCTCCATGTCAACTTGAAATGTATGTCGATGTTTCCTGGAGCATATCTTACTGACTCATAAGCTTCAACTTCGTGAATGTAATTGTTCACTCCCGCACCGTATTTTTGCGATGGAATTTTTCACTCCCACCCTTGTTCAAAAGTGGTTCTAGCTCACTGCGTTAACCACTACACTAGCGGTACCCAGTGCGCAGGCTCAGACATTTAGATGTCATATGTTTCACAAGTAGATTCAGCAAAATAATGAAAGTTCTCAGGGAAGCATGGGATGGCCTTGTGCGTTTGAGCTTATTTCGACCCATTCCATTCAACACTAATCATGCCCTTACTTCTTTCCGGTAAAGGAGCCCTCTTGAATAAAACGCCACGGGGCATGTTGTTCCCGGTCAATGGCTGAAGGGCCATTCTGTCCCACCGCAACGCGCTTTCCGGCCGTCATTCTGGCGACATGGGGCCGCATCCCCTGGCCGATCCGGAGGCTCTTAGAGGGATGCATCGCATCACCTTGGTCCGCTACCTGACGCGGGAGACCTTCTAACCTGTGCTGTAGACCCCGGATCGAGGCATGAACCGTCATTAACGCAACAATGTCCCTGCTAACTGCAGGCGGTCAAATAATTGTCCCATAGATCCAGTCGGGCTTTACGGGCCCATGCTGGGTTTGAAATGGAGACCCCACCATTCCGTGCTAGGGGCCGTGACTGGCGCAGTACTCTTCTATTACCTCAATGTGAGCGCTCATCATAAGTTGTTATGATTCCCTCAACTGTCATAGAGCCCAACCAATGCAAAAGTTTGTCTGTCATTCAGCCCCGTCCCTGTCTCTGTTGAGTAAATTTTTCCCTGACCGAATTGAGGCCCCTCGTTGACACCTAATGCCCTGTTAGGCACAGTGGGGCTCTGCACGACACAGGGGCCCGGCCAATGCAAATCGCGGGCCTCGTCTTGTCCATGCTTGGAAGATGGACCCCAAGAGCCCAGACCAACACGGTGCCGACTGTTCGTTGTTTGTGATATCTGGTCGAACTAGAGGAACGCTCTGTCTCAGGGGTCCCTATCGGTGCAAGAGATCATCTCACTGACATTTAAGTTCACGGCCCTATGGGCGGGGGTCCTTAATGTGACCTGCCGCCAGCCCGTCGAAACCTATAGCGATCCCATCGGGCCTTTTGATCTTCGCGAGACCCTTCGGTCCGTCTTCAAGCCTCCTTAGACACCGCTCCGGCTCGGGGCCACTTGCCACCACGGGACCCCTGTTCGGCACTGGGGCCGCTAACAAACACAGGAGCCGCTCATTGTGTCAGGGACCCCGAACATTGCAAATTGCAGACCCGGCCTCGTTTCTGATCGGGTAATGGGTCTCAAGGACTCAGACGAACATGGAGTCGACTGTTCGGTTTTCGTGGTCTCTGGTTGACTTAGACACCCACGTTATCTCAGGGGCTCCTCAAACAGTGCAAGAGGACTTCTCACTGATATTCAGGTCACTACCTTACGGGCCGCGATTCTTAATGCGATCTACAGTCAGTCCTTCGGTCTGCATACCCTCAAGTCGGGCCTTTGATCATCAATTTCGTTGGGTCGTCCGGGCCCCTCTTTGGGCTTCATCAAACGCTGTCCTTGGTCGCCGCGGGACCCCTCGTGAAGCACAGGACCCTCTGCTAGACGCTGTGGACCCCTAAAAGATACAGAGGCCCCGACCAATGTAAATCACTGGTCCCAGCTTTGTAGCTGATGGGGAAGTGGGCCATCAGGCCAATACCGACACGGAGCCGAGTGTGCAGTACTGGTAGTGCCTGACCAAAACATAGCCCATATCTACTCAGGGGATCCCCGATCGGCGCAACGCAGACTCTGACCGTTGATTGGGGGTCTGTCTTTGCAGGTCGGGGCCCCTGAATAAGAATCCGACCAACCCTTCATGCCCTTAGGCCTTCTAATCAGCCCGTGATCGTCAGACCCGGGGGCCCCCTAGGCTCTTGGGGCCTTCTCGAACACTGCCTCTGGCCGACTCGGGGTCCCATGACAACAGGGCTCTTTCACAGGGCTCTTTTACTTGGCAATAGGTCTCTTTTAGGCACTGTGGAGCCCCGAGCAATATAAATCGCTGGCTCCAACTTTGTCCTTGCTTGGGAGATGGGCCTCAGGGACCATTTGCCGAGCAAGGGAAATGCTGCCGCCACGGAGCAGACTGTGCGTTACTGGTGGGGTCTGACCGAAATATATATCCTTATCGACTCAGTGGGATCCTAATCAGCGCGCAGGGCCCTCTGGCCGGCGTTGGAGTGCCATGCCCTGGGGGGCAGGGTCCCTGAATGAGACCTCTGTTGTTCTCTGTTGCTCTCTGCTATCTGTCCCCCCCCCCCCCGCGTGCGCTGCTGTGTGTACATCTTTACTTTTCAGACCATTATGTTTTAGTGATAAACTGTATATGCTTGTAATGTGCAGTATGATGTTCACCATGTACCTCTGCTAGAGCGGCTTGCTAGTCATATGCACCTCCCGCTAGCATTTTTTTTCATAATCCGTGTGAAGATTTTGATGTTTCGATTACCCCTCAGCGTTACGTTCAGCACCTAGCGGCCGCCCCACACTGAACTTTTACCATCAGTGACGTCACGCTAACGTTAAACGAATATGAAGCGAGAATCATCGGTCGGTTTTGCGTCTTATACGGTATCCACAGATTACCATTCTTTGCTGGCGGTGTTTACATGTGTGGGGACTGCTGACGGAATACATATTTACGTTATAGTATGATAGTAGGTAGAGGTGAAAAATCGCGGCCTGGTTAACTGCAATAGCGCTGTGAGTGCGAATGGTGTAGCAATGGTTTATCTCCATTTCCCTACGAACTTGACGGAGGAAGAAATGGTTCTTCAAAACAAGTATGCCAAACTTAGGAAAAAGGTAGGCGTGATTAGCTTATCTTCGGAAATAAAAGGAATAGGTGAAGTTTTATCTTTTGTGCAAAAGTGTTGTCCTCACGGAAAATAATGAAAGTAAGCTGCATACGCAAGTGATGTTGCGGACACATTGCATGTTGTTACTATTGTGTCAAAGTATCGCATACTCCATTTCTACTTTCATGTGTCATGCTGGATGGACAATTTCAGGTACATGTCTCCATGCATCTTATGTGCTACATGTTTCTATGTATTCCTTATCATCTTTATCTCTGACTCATGTGATGTCATTCTGGATTTTGGCATTGTCCCTCATATTATAATCAAAGTTGAATTTCAGTTTAAACTAGCAAGCATTTTGAATTTGCTATAGACTATTTTTAAAGAGCTTTTGCCCTATGGTGCTCAGGCCTTTTTGCCTTTGGGTGACAGTTACCTCAATAACAGGGGTCTTGGCTAACTATGTTAAATATTATAGCAATGTCCATAATATTGTGTATGGAGGAACAGTGTTCCATGGAGGGTGTTTCCATTTAGCACAACCTCTGAGGAATGGATGTGTCAGTTTGATTCCTCTTACCCAAAGGCTTTTACAAAACAGCTATTGAATGGTCATGCCAATTTTTGCATAGCTGTAGGCATTTTTGCCTGTTTGTAGTATTAAGCAGATTTTAGTTGAATTATTTGTTTGGGCTGTTTTGGGGAACCAAATGTGCTCACAATTTAACCAAATTTATACTGTTCTATTAGGGAGAAAACCCATGGCTGTTTGTCATGTCATGGTACGGTGTGACATGTTAAAACAACCGGCACCAGTGGGCTGGTGGGGCACACAAAATTATCTTATGGTTTTGAAAACTTGGGTGCCATGGTTGGGCTCCATACAGCAAGTTATGTGTGGGAAAGACTGATTCTGCCTGAGTGACTTGAGCTTATCTTGCCACTGATCAGTGAATCCAATAAGAGGTACTTTAACCAATTGAGTTAGTTTGGTTGACATAGGTCACTAGTTGTAGCTCTAGTGACCTGATAGGAGGTCACTAGTAGTAGCTCTTATTTAATCACAAGGGAAGTGAAGTTTTTTCTAAACTTAATGGTGTTGGTGCACCAGATTCTCTTTCCTGACAGTGAGTTGTTCTTCATTGGCTTGCAGAAGAAGGCACTGCTCGCTCTCAAAACCCCAAGGCAGGAGCCAGAACCCATCCACCCAGTGAAGCGACCCTCTGAGGCCAAGGATGCCAAGGAGTATGCCAAGAAACTGATCCGTTCTGGTGCCATTCGCTCAATAGAGAAGAAAGAAGATCACAAGGAAAAGACCACTTTCAAGCGGTCCAAGGTATAGAAAAATGTTCTAGTTGCTTTGGTGCCTGGTTTTTGGTGATATTATGGTACAAATAAGTGAGCCATTTTGACCCCTTTCCAGGTGCCCACAGTCATACTTCTGGTATGTTTTACATTGACCTGGGTGCTGGCAAGTAAAAGGAGTCCATCTGTGCATGGCATTTCCAAGTGCTGTTCGTTGTTCATCGGCATTTCATTTTTGCTGCATGACGGGTGCCAGTGTCCGCCGCGCCATCGCCAACCTGCGCACGTGGCGACCATTGCCAGTGCGTGCTGTGAGTCTGGGTGTGCCCGGCATCCTGGCGTATGATCCGTGCTCGTCCCATGCCAACGGCTAGGGCCTGGAGCGGAAGCTGTCCGGCTCGGACCGGGCGCTGAGCGGCTACCAGCCTTTCTCGGCCACCCACCCGGAGGAGGAGACGCCACCGTTGCCGCCCGCCGAGCGCGACAAGGAGTTCCGGCCCGGTAACAAGATCAAGGTAAAGCGGCCGTTGCGCCGTTGGTGAAGCACGGCCAACTGTGGGTATGCCTTGCCAAAGACTTGTCCTGGTGAGCGGCCTGCATTTACCAGTGCAGCTCAGATATGCTTAGTGGGCAGAGCCGGAATGAATGGGCACCTCCACTGCTCTGTTATCCTGGTTTTCATCATCAGTTATGCAACATCACATGTGGTTACAACGCTGCATAATGGCAAAATATTACTACAAAGAACGAAATAAACACCCGATAACACAAACTAAATCACTACCAGCGTGAGAGGCGGCGGATTTTTTCAGTGTTCTTTTCCCGGGAGGAATGACGAGATATCCACCACACCATTTCCATCTGGTGGAGGGCGAATTAATCACTAGTCCATGCGACCAGGGGCCAAATGAAAGGTCCTATGAAGACAGTAGTCACTAGTTAGCTTTGCAACCATTGTTTGCCCAACCATCGGTGCTTAACGGTTGTGCCGCGGCTGGTGAGCCGGCAAATCTCGCGAAAACGACCACCACGAGCGAGTTAAACCAAGGCCATCCAAACGCAAGGTTGGGCACATCAAGATCCATTCTGGGGTTCGCGAGATAGACGTGGTGCCCAGCCTGCTTCTGCGGGGGAGTAGACGTGCTGCGTGTGTATGTGTGTTTGTATGTGTATGTTTGTGACACAGACCTGACTCGCGCCCGACACGTCACGTTGCAAAATCCAGGCCGCTTCACTATCAAGCTGGCGTCAGTTTGCTAAAGCCGGTAAAGAACGGAAACTGGCCGAATTAGTTTCATCCGGCAGAAATGCCACCCCTGTTCGTAATCCCCCATGTCTTGCAAGATTATTAGCCCTCCGGGTATTTCGTCCCCTCTTCGGCTTGGTCGGCCTCGGCCTCAAATGCAAGCGTGTGGCTTTTTTTCTCCAGACGTTGTACGACAGCTTTATATCAGCTCGTGACAAGGAGGAGCGCTCGGCCTCCAGAGATGCCGTTTCTGACAAGCCTCGTCAGGGCAACACCGTCTACGTCCGCGGCTTCGGCGTCAACGAGCAGCTGCTCAAGCGGGCATTCCAGAAGTTCGGCACTGTCGTCAACATCTCGATGGAGATCGAGAAAAAGTGCGCACAGGCATAAGTTTGGAGTGATCAGGCAGTGTTTACAAGTCAGCTTGATGTCCGCGATAATTGTACCCCAAGGAACTTATTTGATGTTAAAGACATTTCAGTTTGTCAAGAAGGGTTTTCCGATTTCAGTTATGTTGCTGCGATAATGCAAGGTTAAATACGTCAGTGTTATGGGTGCGTTATGGGTGCATTGCGGTCCTGTGTGACCGTGGTTAGCAACTAAATGCAGGCTTCAAACCTTGTCTAGCCTCAATCTTCACTCTGTGTGCCCCTCGCCGTCTGTGTCAGCAACGCCATCTCTTGTGTGTATCCGGCAGCTGCGGTTTCCTGACTTTTGACAAGGTGGAGTGCGCAGAGCGCTCGATCGCGCAGATGAACGGCGCCGCCGTTGAGGGCGTCCAGCTGCAGGTGTCTTATGCACGCCGCCAGCCCAAGATCGAGCCCATCAATGACGCGTCCACCTCCAGCGCGTGGAGCACCATCGGTGAGGCGGTGCACCCCTGTCCTGGGAACAGACAGACGTGGGCGGGTCGGTTCCGCCAGTCCAGGCAGCAATCTCAGACCCTCAGACCGTCGAGAAATCGCATCGTACTTGTTTGGACCCTTAGTGGTCTGTGATATCAGTTGTCTGACAGTGCGCACTGTTTGGGCGTAAGTTCCATGTTTTACCGAAATGAGTAGGCCCTGGTTGTAACACATTTCCATCCCATTTATCTTATTCACTGCATTTCCATTTTCATCGCCTCTTATTAAGTCATGAAATAGAATAGTCTTGAGCTTAAGGTTTGTTCATGAAAAGCTAACAGGCAGGTAAGCCCGTTTTATTTAGATCAATGTTCTCTCAATATGATTACATTTTTAAGATTTCGGTCTTCATTGCCAAAGAAACGTTTCTCCTTACAAATTCACCCATGCCTATTAAGGCAGGTTCGACTACGGCCTTCTTTGCAGTTACGAGACCGCAAACATGTCGAATCACGCTTGAACAGTGCAAAATTGGCTACTTGAGCAGGCTGGTCATCACGCATTCAAGAAGCCTTTGCAACCACTACTGATCATACATACATGCAATTTTTCCAACACCAAACATGATTGTGTAAAAGTTGTGGTCTGTCAGAGTTGTGCTGGACTCCGATTAAGGTCGCGAGCAACTCGGGAATCGACCTTTTTTGTCGAATACGGTAGAGTCGGGCTTATTTAAGAATCTGCTGTGAATCGAGTCGATGTTAAACCCACCAAGTCGATGAGTTGACTCAGACAGAAATGTAGGCAACTGACGTGCGACATGTATACCAAATGACACAGGTCATATAGAGCCCCATTGTACTGAATGTGCGGTTCACACTTATCAAAGCATCACTTAAGTTATTCCCAATTGTCGCCACTGAAATCGACCCGTCGGGTTCGATTGGAAAACTGGACCAAATCCCATTACGTCGCGATTGGGGTCAACTCAAAGTTGCGCTGAGCGTTCGGAGGCGGTTGGAAACAAATCATTACATCGTGATTCATGGAGGGAATCGGCTCTGCTGGAGTGGAACCATGCAGAGTCACGAACCTCTGTATGCTGTGAAGTGTCTGTTGGTCGTTGTGCCAGTGTTGGCTCTCCTGTAACCATGCTTTGTGAACACAATGTGGTCCTTTCATTTCCGTTAACATCTGTTCTACACAACTGGCTAATTGCAAAAAGGTACACAATGTGTCGGAACTGGCGTCAGGTCGTGAGGTCCGGGCGTCACAGCGGCGAAATCATATGGAGGAGAGACTGGAAAACCGTATTGGTAGCACTGTTGGTCGATGCTGTCCACCTTTTTCTCCTCCGCCCATTCACTTCCTCCCGAATTAGCACCGCTTGATGAAAGAGGGCGCTGTTGTGGTCATAGGATGTCACTCGCGTGGTCTTCATGGCTCACGCTCTTTTCATGCGCTCGTTTGAATGGGGAGGATCGCTCGTCCCCCCCCCCCCCCACCCCCAATTTACCCCACGCTCTGGTGCTTAAGCCCTGGCCCTCGCGAATGACCCCAGCTTTCGTGGCAGGCCACCATGCTATTGAGAAAAACGTCACCTGACCGACAAAAAACAGCCATATGATGGTACAAAACGGTGAAAGAGCGCTGCTTCTTGTTTTGGCAACCCGTCCAGACGGCTGCGAACTTCTCACCGGGCCTATTTGTGATGATGCCAGGGACCTGGGCTTATGAGTTACTCAGTTTATGTGTGATCCATAGGATCAGGGACTATATCATATATCTGTATCATAGGATCCAAGGGCTCTCTCATTCGGCCGTTCTGGCTCAGTAGGGCGGACACTTTAGATATGGGCTGGGATGGAGGCCGTTGTTGGACGACTTGACCAGGGGGTCACCGTCGGTCGTCAGCCTGCCTCCTAAAATTCCGCTGGTACGCGTTCTGACAGCTCCATGGACAGTATACCCCTATTGTTTGTCATCAGTTCGCGAAAGTTTGACATATACTATCTCCAAGAACACGGAGAGTTGATAACCCCATGCATGTTTTCTGTTGCAATTCGTAAAGCTCGTTTCGTGACCATCATGTCCATCTTGCCCGTGTATTCGTAATCTACTCCCGAACGCTTTGAGGTATGCGGCCAAACTGGAAGATGGAAAAATATATTGATGCGCTGGCATGACAACATTGAAATGTGTGCATAGTCTAGTGTCATGTTCATATGTCCATACTGCCACATTTTCTCCCAACGCACGTATTCCAGTCTGTAGTGAGCAATATGTGTCTAAGATGTGTGCCTTTTACGGGATGCTATTGGACAAGAACATTGGTGATTATCTCAAATTCATCGCTTTCGTCGCCTGAAATTGTCACACCCGGCCATAGAAGTCTGTGCCTCAATGTAGGCCTTGGTGTCATCTATGTCGTGACAAGTGGTAACTCTACGTCTGGTGAGACATCGCTCATCCCACACCACGCAAGACGTTATGGATTGGAGTATTTCGCGTGGTTGTTGGAAGCGTGCACCACGTGGGTCTGAGACTGAATTAAGCGGAGCTTATCGTTAGCGTATTATGTTGCAGGTTTTTTTAGCATATGTAGTCAATTTCAGAGGTCGTCGCTCCCCCGAATACTCTTGCTCCCTTTATTGTTTTTATTGCTAAAAACAGGCATCACCAGCGCACAACCCTGTGCACTTCAGTCCTGTGAAGGCGTAGGCCTTCTGTAAAAGTACACCGTGATTCAGACGCTGTTTTCAGCCGTGATGCCTAACTCTGGCGCAATCTGAGGGTCCGTGTTGGTGCGAGGTGGCGCACCCGCCGCCGACGTCGGCGCACGGACGGCAAACATGACGCCCGGGCCGGTGTTCGGGTGCTGACATCCGACGGAGTGCCGCCGTCCCCACTTTTTCCAGCCGGCCAGCCGAGTCTCCGTCCGGGTTATTGTGGAGTGGCTGGCCGGTCACTGGAGCGTGGCTTCCGCCGGATCTGCCAGATGGCATTGGCGCATCCCGCGGTCAAAGCACGCCAGTTTGGTGGGCGGGTTTGCTGCAGTCGCTCGTCCGCCCTACCGCTGCGTGATGCCGCGGGAACAGCGGCCGTCCCCGGAGACCGGGGCTTGTTTTGGACGCTTGGCGTATTCGGGGTCGATCGGCTCGATGGATGTCGATGAGCTGTGGGACGGTGAGGGGCGGGGTGGCACAATCAGCGGCCCATCAGCCACCCATTGGGCGGCACCACCGCGCGCAGGTGGTGGCGGGTCTCGGAGGTGGGGAGAGACCAGGCACAGCAGTGTCGCTTCCTATTTAGGTCGCGGGGTCCAGTCCCCCCTCCCCCCCCCCCTCCTCCCTAACTTTGGAAAGGAAGTAGACCAAATTTGGTCAGCATTCCGTTAATTCCTTTATTTTGAGGGTAGACTTGACCATTGTTTCCATGCTCGCCTCAGCTTATTTTGCGAAACTACACACCTGACCAGGCGCCCGACGAGCGCAGGCTGGTGTGACCACATACCAAACCAACGAGTGGCATTGCCTCTACGTCACACTGATGGCGTTGTTTTCAGCGGCCAGCCACTCGCAGAAGGGGCTCCACAACCGAGACAAGCGGGAAGTGGTGACGTACGACGACGATTTCTTGGGCTGAACATGCTGGAGCGACAGATGCCAAGACGCCGGACGACGGTGCGTCCGCCCTGACCGCCGTCACTGCGCCGGCGGCGGCCCTACGACTGGCGTGGCATGCGGTGTGGCCGGCGTCTGCGTCAGCGGGGGCGCGGCGCGGCCGTCCTATCGACGCCGGGTGCCGTGCCGGCGCCGGTCGGCCGCCGCTGCGATAGAGCGGTGTGTTTGCGCTGACGTGTCACGGGGCCACGTGCTGGCCGCCGCACCCCGCCGATGTGGAAAACTACTGGCCGCCTACGTCGAGGCCTGCCGGCGCCGCGCGCCCCCTGCCCCGTATCCAGTGCGTCGGCCAGCCGTGATCGGTGGGCCCTACAGCGGCGCAGTGTGAACTGTGCAGTCTGGCGGCAGGGCGGTCATGGGCCCGGAATGCGGCGGGAGTCGGGTCTGGAGTCGGTGCCACGCCGTTCGATCGCTCTAGCCTGGAATTCGGGTTTATCGCCGAATTCGGGAGCAGACGGCAGCGGTGGCGCCGTATGGTCGCCCAATTTGCGACGATGTGCTTGTCCCGGCTGTCCGTCAGAAGCGGTGTTCGTGTAAATATACGGGGGTGTTGTAACCGAGTGTTGGCCTTTCCAGTGCAGAGAGCGATTCGATTCGGCTCGCCGTCATTCTCAGCAAGCGTCAGGGTCAACCGCACTAGGCGCGTTTACTACGCTGTAACGCAAAGTGATCGTGTGGCGCGAATGTCGGCGCGTATCTTGCACGCCCCATATGTTCCGTATACCTTTGGCTATGAAAATATACACAGACCCGGGATGTGTGTTTGGACTCATTAGTTCGACGTTAGTGCTCCCGACATCTGTTTGAACAGGCCGGTCAAAAGATGGATGAGATGTGCAGCACGTGTGTACCATACTGTTTGAACCCGGGTTGGCTGCGTCGTTTGAAATCCCCTTAATCTGTTTCGTAGTTTTGTTTGAAAATATAGTTTTACAATATAGTGTGAGATCCCGCAGCGGCGCACACAGCTGGGGTGTGTTAATAGCGGCGAGCCGGCCGATAAAAAATGTAAGCCGTCGACATCCTTTATAACGTCATGCCGCAAAGTTTCGGCGTTCGCAGCAATTCGGACGAAAAGTTAATTACCTCGCACACGACTGGGGACGGGAAAAGAACATGCATTTGGCTCCGAAAATGCCGTTTCACGCGAAAATCGACTCCTCTCACCACGCATGCCCAAGCCATAGTCTCACCTGAAATGTAGCGGGTGAATCTGATCGGGTTAGAATAGAAGGCGTTGGAATTCTATGAGAACCACATGCCGTGAGTACCGCGTGACCAATGAGGTGGCAGCGTTCGCGTGACGTTTCTATGACTTCATGCTTGTCTGGGTGATCTTGAAATAGTCCGCACGAAGAAGCCTGTACAAGTTCGCGGGCTTCAAGCTCAGAAACCAGAAAGTGTAAAGCCTTAAAAAGACAGGAATGTGAACTGCACTGATTGACCTTTTAATAACTATTTCAGATCAAAACCCCATGCAAGTGTGGAACACTTCCATTACAGGGAGTATTCCACATTTGAATACCTAAAAGCAAGCACGATGTACCATGTAATCAGGCCACTGGCAAGTATTAACATGCATTTAACTGCAAGAGACCGCCTTAGGCAATGCAATTTTACTATTTAGTAAAATGTTCCTCAATGCATTATTGTTTGGTTGCATCATTTAGCGTTTATATGACGTCAGAGTAGCTGCCAAATTGGCTGTGCGAGAATACCGCTGTAGGGGACGGCCTGCCACGTCAGTCTGGGCGGTTAACGGAAAAACAGTTCACTAAAAGCTTGGCGTTCTCACTAAGCTCCACCCTCCCACCCCCATTATGAGACCAGCTGTGCCCCTGTTTTCCATCACTTTTGACTAATGTCCGCTGTGAGCTTCCCGGCGATACTGTGGGTCACGGATTTCTTGATGCTGCACGTTGGACTAAGGGATCTGGGTGCTGATTTTCCATGATATTTATGATGTTTCCTTAGTTTCATGTTTCACTGGTGGGTTTGGTGGCAGTAAATTTAATCAGGCGTAAGTCCCCATCAGTTAATTGCCTCCTGCTCCATTTCCAGCTCAAGATTTTTGCATTTTAAGGTGATTCCGGAGTCCCCCTACCGATGTTGTATACGCTTCTATGTTCAGCCAACACATATTCGGCATGTAAACTGAGCATGTAAGTAGAGCGTAACGGCCTGCAGATATTCTGTTAAGTGTAAACGTAACTGATGATTATGTGAGTGAAATCAATGCATTTCATGATTGATGTACTGTATCTGGTGGCAGATGGATGACAGTATACGCTGCCTGATTTTGGGGTCTCGTTGTCGTACAACCCGTATCAGGTCCATCAACTGGCAGCAAAAACAAGATCATGCAATCTGCTTGAAACTTCAAATGTTGTTGACATTGTTCAGGAGCCAAATACTGTTTTTTTCTACTGTCATGTGGGCCTATTCTTCTCAAATACATAGCCTTGCTTCCGCCGTTTATTTGTGTTCAAATAGCTTGTGAAACTAGAGGTAGGACAATATTTGCAATGCAACGCAATCAGGGCAGATCTTTGGCATGTTCACCGAAGGTTACCAGCTTGCGTGGTTACCGTGCCACTAGGAAGGCACACGGTATGTATTGGTAGTGGGTAGCTAGTAGTCTACCTACATGACCATCCCAGGATCCTATGTCCTCCCAGGCACCTGTAAAAAGCGCCTTGGCTCTCGATCGGCCCGCCGTCGGCCCTAACCATGGCACCTTTTAGGTGTCCATGCGCCAAACGGAAAAATAATGTGTTTCTCTTTACCACCGCCGAGCGTCGCTGTCAACGCAGTCGTTGACGCCTTCAGCACATGTCCTTGAAATAGCAGCTGTCGTTAGTGTCTATAGTAGCCTTTGGCAGTGCCAGTTTTGGCAGCCCGGCCCCAGGTGGAAGCAATGCGACTGGCAGGCGGACTAATCCGGCTTCGAGATTTCGGCTGGAAAGGATGAAAGCGAGCGAAAGGCATAAGACTTGTCAGGTTTGAATCGTTAAAAATCTCGGAAATTTTGGCCACAGTAGGGCCCTCAATTCCTTAGAACCTTAGAACCTTCCTTAGAGATAATGGATGCATACGTAGACCAATACCAGCGTGCTTGTGTTGCTTTGAGTGAAGACATGCGTAGCCTGCACGTGGTTGTATATATGGAAAGAAGCCTACCTGCCAGCCTAGATCCTGCATCCCACTAGGCCTATTTGCCTAAGTTCTACGACCTACATTCGATTTCTCTGCCACCAAGGTAAGCTGGCGCTGGCGAGATCATGGGGAGGATGAGGAGATACCCAGGTATACGCCTTTGTAGGTAGGTACCGCGCAGACATGCACAAAACAGTGTAATAGTTATACGCGGGGTCGCAAGCGGTGCCATTAAACCAGGGGATGCATCGGACAGGGCGGGTTGCTGGGGGGGGGGGGGGGGGGAGGGGGTGTATATGCCACGCCAGTTCAGTCAATGGTAGTGGGTAGGTGCCCTACCGCATGTTACCATAATTCACCTGCCATTTCCCTACTTTTGTGCGCAATATTTCGCCACCATGATAGCCTAATTGGGTGTTTTATTCAATGTACGTATTTCCTTGTTTTCATTGAATTATTTGTGATGTGCTTGTGGTTGAGTACTCATAACCAGCGAACTCAAGGGGGGGGGGGGGATCGCATGGCCATCCCCTAGCTCCTCCTAGACGGGGGCTGACCCTCTCACACGATGTTATTTGCTGTGCTCCAATTACTTTGTTCAAGCAGCTCTGAGATTCCTTAACACAAAACTTCCTGCAAAGGTGGGCAGTATGGCGACCATAATGCCCAAGCACCTACCCATGCAACACTATACAGATCTGACAAGTGTCTCAGTGATTGATTTTACCAGAGTTGCTTGCTACACTTTATTTCTGCTCGGCATAACCTTGAATATTTTTGGATTTTTTCGGCAACTCGGAATGCTTTCTAACTTATTCAACTGGCCAGAAAGCACAAAAGTTTCGCACGCCGAGCAATATCTTCCTGTGTACCTTTTGACCACTGCCAGCGCCCGGGTAGAAATTTGTGTTTAATACAGAGGTTAAAGTGTTATTGCGATAAAAAAACAAAAACTGCAAGCACATGACACTTTTGAGCCTAGTTTGTCATAATAAAAGGTATTTATCCTTTTCAATGAGCATAATCGACCACCGTAAAAATAAACATGTTTTTTGCGATGCGGTAGCATCTGGTACTTCTGATAAGCAACAGCTGAATATGAGTATGAAAAGTCGTCGCCAGTGAAATTTACGTCGGGTGTCGACCGTTTATAAAACTCGGTAAGCTGAGTAATTTTTTGTTGTTGGGGCTATTTTTTGGTAAGAAGCGGCGGCATTTTTTATGAAACTGGTCTCAAGTCATGTTATTTATCACTGGATATTTCTTGAAAATGTAAAAGTGCTCTGAGATTCCCAAGTATGCGAGGAATATGTCCTGCCCAAGATACTAAAGCTGGAAGCGAAAATTAGGATGTCACATGCAAATGAACGTTTTCGTATCGGGAAGAGACCGAGTTTTGCAAGAAATTTTCCTGCCCGGATAGATTTACCTAAATGCTGGTGAATGCGACTGTGAACGCGGCCAACTGACCTCTCTCCCATACACTGGAAGGTATGCTGTTCTGGTCGTCCTCGGTCCCGCCTTCGTAGATGAGATGAGGAACTGTCGGATGTGCTTCAAGGTCTTGGATCACCAATTCTTAAAGAGAGTTGCGTAGGTCAGAAGGACACGCGTTGTTCGAGGCCACTTCCACTGCTTTCCGGCGCTCCCGGAACCCTCGCTGAGTGTCCTCATATGGCGTATGGCCTCAATTGGCCCGTGCCTAGTTTTAGTTCCCATAGCCTTCCTCACTGTGTTGTCCTCCATTCATGGATACGGCCGGTGCTTCAACTTGGTGCTTGACATCGGCATGTGCTGGTTGATAATGGGATGCCACACGGCCAGAAATGTTTTCCATTTTTCGGTGCTGGCGTCATCTTGGTTGAACTGCATCCCGCCTGATTGAAGGAGGATCAGGCAGAGGGCGTCCTGGTTCACGCACCATGTAGACCGCACGATGATGGCTTGAGCGGCGTATCGAGTTTTGACGTTGGCGACCGTCACAATGACGAAGTCGGGATCGCTGATGTTCCAGGGAGTTATGCTTGCGTCAGATGTCGGGACCTACCTGTTGGTGATAAGGTGGTCAGTGAGTACTGGGATGGGTACAGGGAGAGTCGGCTCAGTGATCAGTTGGCGCAATGGCAAGTCACTCAGGTGCTTCATATATCATGATACGCCTGATTTTGTATGGCTGTCGATTATTAAATTTGACGTCGCCTAGCAGGTGCGGTGGATGGTCGAATGACAGGACGTGCGTCAGCTGGTGATGGGGGTCATCGACGGCTGGTGCACACGGCACCGATGAGGGAGTGCACACGGCGCCAACGACGGTGGCATCCCGCTGGTGATATGTAGCCATAGGGCCTCGAATGTGGAATTTGCATCTGGTATCCGCTGCTACTCTGCTTTCAGTGTGCTGCGGTGGATGATGGCGATTCCGCCTGCCGTCTTCTTGCTCCGCCTGTCGCGTCGACTGATAGCGTATCCCAGGAACAGCAGTAGGCGGTTGTCGTCTGCCTCAGTGACCGGTGTTTCGCTGAGGCAGAGGCTGTCCAGCTGCTTTGCTGAGGCAGGGGACGTCCAGCTGTTTTGCTGCGACAGAGGACATGCAGCTGTTT